CCTCTGTTACATTGGAGGTCAGTGTAAATACCTCTGTTACATTGGAGGTCAGTGTAAATACCTCTGTTACATTGGAGGTCAGTGTAAATTCCTCTGTTACATTGGAGGTCAGTGTAAATACCTCTGTTACATTGGAGGTCAGTGTAAATACCTCTGTTACATTGGAGGTCATTGTACATTCCTCTGTTACATTGGAGGTCAGTCTAAATTCCTCTGTTACATTGGAGGTCAGTGTAAATTCCTCTGTTACATTGGTGGTCAGTGCAAATACCCTTATAACATGTGCGTCCATTTTGACCAGAGCTTGAACATTTTCTCCGATTGCACGTTTTTTGGAGCATCACCTAACAAAACAATCGCAACTGAAGAAGTCCCCATGACCCACGACAGTTCAGCTACATAAGGCAAGTATGTACATGCCCATGAGTCCCCGCCCCCCCAGCAGCTTACAATCTAATACTAGACCTACCATATGGCACACGGGCCATAACACGCCCGGGTCTGATCCTAGAAGTACAAATGATGTAACCATTGAAGCGGTCACGTGGCAACCAAGGGATGACAGGATACGTGTATGAGAAGTCACAACGTAATCTGCTGGTGGAATATAATCCATGCTAGAGTTGAATGTTTGCACACCGTGTAGGGAAGGGCCGGGGGCTGACTATAACTGTATGGAAGGGTGAGGTAGAGTGATGTCCATGCGACAAAACAATAACAACAAAAAAACAAAAGCATTGACAGCGTTTTATTATTTATAAAAAGAACGAAAACCAAACTGAAGGGAAGATCCCAGATCTGAGCGATCAGCCGCGACCAGCAGATTGTTACTTTCACTTTCACTTCTGGAGAATCCTATCACCGGGAATGAATGTATGAGGAAAGGATATGAAGCTCTCATCAGATCCGGTCTCTTCCGGAGTCTTACATTGTAGTGCTGAGAAGTCTCCGGAACACCCATCGGGGTGAATTCAATAAAACACGTACGACACTTTTCTGGTGGTGTGGCCCTTTATAAAGACCTGCGCCTAATTGGTAAGGATTAGGAAATGTCCCACCGTCGGAGTCTCCAAGACATAGACGCCGCCAATAGAAGACTTGACCCATCATCCTTCACCTGTAAATGAAATATCACTGATCCCGGGATGAAGCCCCCTTTATAAATGATTTTATCCTCCAGTTGTTCTATGGACTGAACAGTTCCACCGGATAAAATCCATCATACGAAACAATGATTAGGAACGTCTCTCTGATGTCTAATTAGACTTCTTTTATCTGTAAAACTTTTCCCGCACTCCAGAACATGGAAAAACATCAATCACTGCTCTGGGTTCTCTGGTGTTTAACAAAACTTCCTTTCTGAATGAAACATTTCCCACACATTTTCAACTTGAGAAAGGACGCTTATCAGAATGAATTCTCTGGTGTCTAACAAAGGCTTGATTCTGTCTGAAAGATTTACCACAGTCTGGACATGAATAAGGACGCTCCCCCGTGTGAATTCTCAGGTGGGTAACAAGGTTTCCTTTCACGGAAAAACATTTGCCGCACTCTGTACAACGGAAAGGACCCTCACCTGTGTGAATTCTCTGGTGTACAACAAGGGTGTTTTTCTGAGCAAAACTTTTCCCGCACTCTGAACAGCTATAAGGCCGCTCGCCCGTGTGAATTCTCTGGTGCCTAAGAAGGTTTTGGCTTTCTTTGAAAGATTTCCCGCACTCTGAACAGGAATAAGGTCGCTCACCAGTGTGAAATCTCTTATTTACCAGTAGTGTTCCTTTTTCAGAGCAATTTTTCTCCCATTCTGAACAGGAAATAGGCCGCTCTTTCGTGTGAGTTCTCTGATGTGTAAGAAGGTTTCCTTTCACAGAAAAACATGTGCCGCACTCTGTACAACGGTAAGGACCCTCAGCTGTGTGAATCCTCTGGTGTGTAAGAAGAGCATTTTTCAGTGCAAAGCATTTCCCACACTCTGAACAGCAATAAGGCCGCTCACCTGTGTGAGTTTTTTGGTGTGCAACAAGGCTTCCTTTCTGACTGAAACTTTTCCCACACTTTGAACATGAATAAGGGCGCTCACCCGAGTGAATTCTTTGGTGGTTAACAAGTACTACTTTGTGAGTGAAAGATTTCCCGCACTCTGAACATGAAAAAGGGCGCTCACCTGTGTGACTTCTCTGGTGTTTAACAAGGTCTCCTTTATGGGAGAAACTTTTCCCGCACTCTGAACATGAAAAGGGGCGCTCACCCGTGTGACTTCTCTGGTGTTTAACAAGATCTCCGTTACGAGTGAATGATTTCCTGCACTCTGGACATGAAAAGGGGCGCTCACCTGTGTGGAATCTCTGGTGTTTAACAAGGTCTCGCTTATGGGTGAAGCTTTTTCCACACTCTAAACATGAAAAAGGATGCTTGTCTGTGTGACTTCTCTGGTGTTTCAGAAGGTTTTTCTTGTCAGTGAAGAATTTCCCGCACACTGAACATGAGAATGGATCCTCAGCTCTCTGATCTCCTACATGGGGTGAGGAGGATTCCTTGGGATTAGATGGATCTCTTGCAGTGCGAGATCTTAGATGGATATTTCCAGTCATAGTATGTGAATGGTGAGAAGATTCACCCTGATCAGAGGGATCCATTGATGTCTCCGAGCACTGAGGTCTGTGATGTATATTTTGTGTGTTTGGATTCACTCCTGGAGAATCCTGTGTGATGACATTATCTTCTGACTTACAACCAGCAGATAATATAAGATGTCTCTCCGAGGTATTCCTGACATCACATCCATCTGCTGGAGAGAAATGATTACACACATCAGTAATCAGAGTCATGTATGTTGGTCTAGAAGTCATCACAGAGCTCTGGCATGGAATTGGGTCCAATTGTAACCCCAAAATATGAAAAACAACCAGATAAAGGAGACAAAACCCCCAAAATACCTCTGACCCCCCGGAGACCATTGTACTGTTCATTCATGACCGCTATGGGGGGATGGAGATGGACCTTCATATGGTGTACAGTATCTCCTCCTCATTTGTTGGTCACATGACGTTATACTGAGGAATGGAGATGGACCTTCATATGGTGTACTGTATCTGCTCCTCATTTGTTGGTCACATGACGTTATATTGAGGAATGGAGATGGACCTTCATATGGTGTACGGTATCTCCTCCTCATTTGTTGGTCACATGACGTTATATTGAGGAATGGAGATGGACAACCAATGTAATGGAGCACGACCCCTTCATCCTACAACAGGGGAGATGACTTCTTCCGGGGAATCTTCTTCCCAACGTTGATGGTCCACCATTTATAATTCAGTCTCATCTTATCTGATGATGTGAAGATCTGATAATTCTCCAACATGATCCCTTAAACGTCACACCTTCTACTCAGAAGTGACATAGAACTGTGACCTGTTCCCTCCGTAGTGTCTGTTACTTACTTGTGTTGATCGGTAGAGAAATGTCACCCTGATCACTTTTCATCATCATCCCGACCTCCTCCGTGGACGGCCGGTCACCCCCCACATACGTCTCCACTTCTTCCTCTTTAACCTCAGCTTTTATATTGATCCGTTCTTCACCCTAAACCCCAAAATAATAGAAAACATCTCATAAAGCTGAACTCCGGGGAGATAGAAAACACAAAGGAACGCAGCTCTGTACTCATGAATACATCATAAAAGCGTAATTCCAGTTTCCCACAAAAAGTCAAATTACCTCACAAATTGGGGTCATACTTTATGGGTGGGGGAGATGCTATGAAGCTCTTCTCATTGGTAACCGTGGTCAGGTGAGTGCGCTGACCAGTGGGTGCTTACCATTTATGGGCATTATTCTAGATACAGATACTGGGTTCTAATGCTGAGTATATTGTATGAATCATATACCGGCTGCAGTGGAGGGGAACAGCGGTTTCCCTAAAGGGATGACTATTGGGGGGCAGAGGGGACCAATTTGTCGGGGCAATTTCAGTTTCTCAGATTTGGTGGGAAATTGGAATTACCCTTTAAATGTGCAAACAGTATAAGTACCTGAATGTGAGCCGGTGTCCTCTTCACTCCAGAGTCATCTCTGTGTTCTATACAGCGAGTCCCATCTACCTGATCATGGTGAGGGACGGTGAGATCTTCCTGTGTGGAGTCCCGGGAATACAGAGGACGGGGACATCTCTCTGGTGGGTTCCTCTTACTGGATCCATCTGTAGGAAACACACACACTGACTGAGTACATTGTTTCTATGTGTGTATCAGATGATGGGGGATGTAGGTGGAGCCTCCGTACTGCTCTCTCCTCTTACCCGGTGATGTGAGGGGCGGCTCATTCTCCATCACCACGTCCTTGTAGAGATGCCGGTGTCCTTCTAGATACTCCCACTCCTCCATGGAGAGATAGACAGAGACATCCCGACACCTTATAGGAACCTGACACACACAATGATACAGTCACCACCCAGACACACCCCTTGTCTGTTCCTGGATCATGTCCCAGAATTCCCGGCACCGCTCACCTCTCCCGACAGCAGCTCAATGATCTTCCTGGTGGCTTCTAGAATCTTCTTGTCATTGCTCCTCTCGGGTTTCATGGAGTGAGGTGAAGGCACTGTGACGGTTAAATGGTCACCAGACTTCACCGGAGGAAAACTCTGTTTTGAAAGAGCAAAAGTAATGTCATGTGACATCCCAGAATCCTCCTCACATTTTTGGTCAGGTCTGTATTTTGTTAAGAGATAAAAGTGATGTCATGTGACCTCCCCAGAGTGTTCCTCACCTCTCCGGTCAGCAGGTAAATAATCTCCAAGGTGAGGGCCAATATCTTCTCAGTCATATCACTCGGGTCCTTGTCCATCCTCGTTGATGTGATCATGTGATCCATAGAAGACTCTGATTTCAGTGCAGTGGTTAAAAATAACCACCAGAAAACAGTTAAAGAGACCCTGTCACCATCATGAAATAATTCAGGACAAAAGCTTTGAAAGAAATCAAGTCTGCTAAATTCTTACTTGCAGAAATTTAGGATGTATCCGGTCTTTAAATGGTCGGCTCTGGATGGACAGTTGGATAAATGGCTCTATATTTAGGGTGTATGCGGTCTATAAATGGCGGCTCTGGATGGACGGTTGGATAAATGGCTCTATATTTAGGGTGTATGCGGTCTATAAATGGCGGCTCTGGATGGACGGTTGGATAAATGGCTCTATATTTAGGGTGTATGCGGTCTATAAATGGCGGCTCTGGATGGACGGTTGGATAAATGGCTCTATATTTAGGGTGTATGCGGTCTATAAATGGCGGCTCTGGATGGACGGTTGGATAAATGGCTCTATATTTAGGGTGTATGCGGTCTATAAATGGCGGCTCTGGATGGACGGTTGGATAAATGGCTCTATATTTAGGGTGTATGCGGTCTATAAATGGCGGCTCTGGATGGACGGTTGGATAAATGGCTCTATATTTAGGGTGTATGCGGTCTATAAATGGCGGCTCTGGATGGACGGTTGGATAAATGGCTCTATATTTAGGGTGTATGCGGTCTATAAATGGCGGCTCTGGATGGACGGTTGGATAAATGGCTCTATATTTAGGGTGTATGCGGTCTATAAATGGCGGCTCTGGATGGACGGTTGGATAAATGGCTCTATATTTAGGGTGTATGCGGTCTATAAATGGCGGCTCTGGATGGACGGTTGGATAAATGGCTCTATATTTAGGGTGTATGCGGTCTATAAATGGCGGCTCTGGATGGACGGTTGGATAAATGGCTCTATATTTAGGGTGTATGCGGTCTATAAATGGCGGCTCTGGATGGACGGTTGGATAAATGGCTCTATATTTAGGGTGTATGCGGTCTATAAATGGCGGCTCTGGATGGACGGTTGGATAAATGGCTCTATATTTAGGGTGTATGCGGTCTATAAATGGCGGCTCTGGATGGACGGTTGGATAAATGGCTCTATATTTAGGGTGTATGCGGTCTATAAATGGCGGCTCTGGATGGACAGTTGGATAAATGGCTCTATATACAAAGTTTCACAAACTCCAAACTTTCGGCACTAATTGATGGCTAACACGGTACAATATTCTAAAACTATAAACCATAACAGACGTCACTGTGACTATGGAGGACGGACATGACGGGGCGGGAGGGTCACTGGTTGTAAATATAAAATAATATCCTATTACCACCTCTGATCCCAGTTCCAGCGATGTCTCCTCTCTACTTCCTTCCAATTGACCTTTCTCCTGGAGCGTGCTATTTGATACTCCTACATCACTTCCTGTCGTTCCCTTACGTCACTTCCTGTAGGTGGCTTCCACGTGAGATCACCACCGTGTGTTGAATATAAATACTGCAGGATACGTTACATAGTATTTGAGGTTGAATAAAGACTTAACTCCATCAAGTTACGTTTCATCATATTGTCTGCGTCCTCGGGGTCCATTCCTCTCGGATGTTACATCCATAATTACACACGCACATTATACCCGAGTTTGTTTCCTGTGTGGACTGAGTCTATATACTGTATACTTACACTATGTTACCAAACGTATTGCGACGCCTTGACATTCACATGAACTCTAATGGCCCCCCAGTCTTAGTCCGTAGGGTTCAGTATTGGGTTGGCTCCGCCCCTTTGCCGCTATAACAGCTCCGCCTCTTCTGGGAAGGCGTCCACAAGGTTTAGGGGTGTGTCTATGGGAATGTTGGACCATTTGTGAGGTCAGGTACTGATGTTAGGGGAGGGGCTCGCAGTCTCCGCTCTAATTCATCCCAAAGGTGTTCTATGGGGTTGAGGTCAGGACTCTGTGCGGCTAGTCACGTTCCTCCCACCCAAACTCCCCCATCCATGTCTTTATGGACCTTGCTTTGTGCACTGGTGCGCAGTCATGTTGGAACAGGAAGGGGCCATCCCCAAACTCCTCCCACAAAGTTGGGAGAATGAAATTGTCCAAAATGTCTTGGTGTGCTGATGAGTTGCCTCCACTTCGTTATAATCCCAGTAACAGGCGACCGCGAAATATTTAGTGGCCAGGAAATGTCACGGACGGACTTATTGTACAGGTGACAACCTATCACGGTACCACGCTTGTAGTCACTGAGCTCCTGAGAGCGACCCGTTCTTTCACCAATGTCTGCAGAAGCATCTGCATGCCGAGGTGCCTCGTCCTATACACCTGTGGCCATGGAGGGGATTGGAACACTTGAATCACATGATCTGGAGGGGGAGGGGCCCAATACTTTTGGTAATATAATGTATATTTTATCGCGCGGCACTGGCTGGCAGGATTGTGGACGGTGTAGATGTGCTCAGGTCTCTCCGGCCGCTGGGTGAAAAGACTGAGCTAACCGAACGCTAAAATGGCACAACGGCCGCCTATTTACTTTAGGGGAACCCATTAGGGGCGCCCTGTTACTCAGGAACGGGCCTGGGTCTACGTAGTGGCTCAGGCATACCATGGACTTGCTGTACAAAGCCTTCCTGCATTGATTCTTTGTTGCTGTCTTGTTGAATAAAGGCCGGGGACAACCCTGCTAGGACTGTTCCTGGGTGTCCCCGTCTCCTGCATGGTTTACTGCTGTCCATACCGGCTGAGCCCGCCCACCTTACAACTTAACTCGGAGGAGGAAAGCGAACTTCTCTCTGTTCCGACGGGTTCCTACACCTCGGCACCTGGATTGAGAAGAGAGTGCCTATTCCTAGGACTTTGTTTGTGGAAGCTGTAGAAGGAGGCCATTGGTTGGGAGGAACAAAGCTCGTCTCCTCCAAAGTGAGAAAATATTTTCCGGACCTGAAAAGGGGTTTGCCGTGTTTTCCCTTCTTGTTGGAGGTCAATCGAGGACCAATGGGCGGAACCAGATAAGAGGCAAAGTGTTGATAACAGGGTAGCTGCACTCGATCCTTTTCAATCTTCTGATTTTGGTTGATGGATTCAGCCCATGAGGTGGATGCTGCTTTGCAGAGGTTGGCCAACCATTTCACACTGCCCCCAGAAGACTCGGTCTCATTCCGAGACCCCATGGACCGAAAATTGGAGCCAGACCCAAAAAAAAATGTTCTCCTGTGGTGCGGGATGTAGGTTTGCGGTTTTCTTAACGTCTGTATCCCGTGAAATGCGATCCTGGGTACCTCAATTAGAAGATCAGGCGAGTATGCCAGATCTATCCTCAGTATTTGAGAACCTGAAGATGGCTGCAGACTTTGTGGCAGAGGAAGCGGTAGAGGCGGTGAGACTGGATGCCCAGGTCATGGCACACCCGGTGACTTCTAGGAGGGCTCTCTGGCTCAGCATCAAAGCAAAGTTTGTGCTCCGTTCCATTTACGGGAGAACTTTGGACAGACTTAGGAAGACGCTATTAAGCGGGAATCCAGAGATAAATCAGGCTTGATGCCTCAAGATAGAAGGAGGCAATGCTGTTCCAGTAGATCTTCACAAGATAGCTTTCAAAACACAGGGAAATAAAGGCCGGGAAAGGATTCAGGACAAATCTCTTTGGTTAAAGCGAGCAGAGGGAAGTCTTCGTCAAGCTCCAAGCAAGTTGACAAGACCTTCTCAAGTTTTGCCAGCCCAGTCGGGGCCGGTTGGGTCAAAACTGTTCCTTTTTCAGTTGTCCTGGGTCAGGCAGTTGGATTCTGGACCCTAGCATCAGTCGGTGACTCTCTCCTCAAAGCGTCGGTCAGTGTCTCTCTCCTCTTCTCCTCCCCCAACCCCCCAGCGTCGGTCAGTGTCTCTCTCCTCTTCTCTCCCCCCCAGCGTCGGTCATGTAACCGGGGGATTTAAGTCTTCCATTACCTGGATGACCTTCCTTAACCGGGAGAATTCAAGTCTTCCATTACTTGGATGACCTTCCGTAATCGGGGGGATTCAAGTCTTCCATTACCTAAATGACCTTCCTCAACCGGGGGATTCAAGTCTTCCATTACCTAGATGACCTTCCGTAACCGGGGGGATTCAAGTCTTCCATTACCTAGATGACCTTCCGTAACCGGGGGAATTCAAGTCTTCCATTACCTAGATGCCTTCCCGAAAAAAAAATTCAAGTCTTCCATTACCTAGATGACCTTCCGTAACCGGGGGGATTCAAGTCTTCCATTACCTAGATGACCTTCCGTAACCGGGGGATTCAAGTCTTCCATTACCTAGATGACCTTCCTCAACCGGGGGATTCAAGTCTTCCATTACATAGATGACCTTCCGTAACCGGGGGATTCAAGTCTTCCATTACCTAGATGACTTTCCGTAACCGGGGGATTCAAGTATTCCATTACCTGGATGACCTTCCTTAACCGGGAGAATTCAAGTCTTCCATTACGTAGATGACCTCCCGTAACCGGGGGGATTCAAGTCTTCCATTACCAAGATGACCTTCCGTAACCGGGGGATTCAAGTATTCCATTACCTGGATGACCTTCCTTAACCGGGAGAATTCAAGTCTTCCATTACGTAGATGACCTCCCGTAACCGGGGGGATTCAAGTCTTCCATTACCTAGATGACCTTCCTCAACCGGGGGATTCAAGTCTTCCATTACCTAGATGAACTTCCTTAGCCAGGAGAATTCAAGTCTTCCATTACCTAGATGACCTTCCTCAACCGGGGGATTCAAGTCTTCCATTACCTAGATGACCTTCCTCAACCGGAGGGATTTAAGTCTTCTATTACCTAGATGACCTTCCTCAACCGGGGGATTCAAGTCTTCCATTACGTAGATGACCTTCCGTAACCGGGGGATTCAAGTCTTCCATTACCTAGATGACTTTCTGTAACCGGGGGATTCAAGTCTTCCATTACGTAGATGACCTTCCTTAACCGGAGGGATTTAAGTCTTCCATTACCTAGATGACCTTCCTTAACCTGGGAGAATTCAAGTCTTCCATTGCGTAGATGATCTTCCGTAACCGGGGGGATTCAAGTCTTCCATTACCTAGATGACCTTCCTTAAACTCGCTTGGAGAGCGATGGCTGCTTGGTGGGCAAGTTACAGGAGAGTTCCGGTGGAGACTATCTAGAGAGCAGCTAGTTAGAGCTCACCGAACACCTTCCTCCATCACTATAAGTTAGACGTTAGGTTTGGTCCTGAGACTTCTTTGGGAGAGCCCGTTCTCTCAGGTGTTCATTCAAAATGAAATTTTGGTTTGTTTGGCATTGTTTTTTTCATTTTATTCCCTCCCTACGATATTGATTTCACATCCCATCTTAGGACACGAGGAGGGTCGGGAATCCAGAAAATTGTTGTCTCATACTTACCATAATTTTCCTTTCTTGGCTCCTCCTCCTGTCAGCCGGATGGTCCCACCCTGGCCGTCGCAAAACTTTTGACGGAACGTTGACTACTAGGCAGGTAGGGGGAACCATGAGCGCCATACGACTTCCTGTATTTCTCCATAATAGGAATTATTTTTATCTTCAACAGACAATGGAATTGTTTCTTTATTATCACACAGATTACATATCAGGTAAGATATAAAGAATGAAAAACAACAACAACATTTTGACAACATTTTAATTTTTATAGAAAGGGTAAAAGAACGAAAACCAAACTGAAAATTGATGCAAAAAATGATAATTTCCACACATTTATTGTATAAATATAAAGATGTTTGTTTTTTTAAAATTCTTCTATACCATCGGAGTCTCCAAGACACAGACGATGCAAAGAGAAGACTTGACCCATCAAACTTCACCTGTAAATGAAATATCACTTATCTTGGGATGAAGCCCTTTGTAAATGATTCTGTCCTCCAGTTGTTCTATGGACTGAACAGTTCCGCCGGCTAAAATCCTTCCTACCAAAGAGCAAGAACGTTCTCTCTGATGTTTAATTAGACTTCTTTTAATTGTAAAACCTTTCCCGCACTCCGTATCTAAAAAAACAAATTCTTCCACCGGTGTGGGGTGTCTGGAGTTTAACAAGGCTTCCTTTCTAAGTGAAACATTACCCACACACTCAACATGAGAAAGTACGCTTATCGGTGTGAATTCTCTGATGTCTAACAAAGGCTTGTTGATGTCGGAAAGATTTCCCGCACTCTGAACACGAATAAGGACACACACCTGTGTGAATTCTCTGGTGCGTAACAAGGTTTTCTTTTATAGAGAAAGATTTGCCGCACTCTGTACAAAAGAAAGTAGCCTTACCAGTGTGACTTCTCTGGTGCGTACGAAGAGTGGTTTTCTGTGCAAAACACTTCCCGCAATCTGAACAGCAATAAGGCCGCTCACCTGTGTGAATTCTCTCGTGTGCAGCCAGGTTTCCTTTATGAGCGAACCCTTTCCCACACTCTGAACATGAATAAGGACGCTCACCTGTGTGAACTCTCTCGTGTGCAGCCAGGTTTCCTTTATGAGTGAAACTCTTCCCACACTCTGAACAGGAAAAAGGACGCTCACCAGTGTGACTTCTCTGGTGTAAAAGAAGAGTGGATTTCTGTATAAAGAATTTTCCGCACTCTGCACATGGAAAAGGCCTCTCAGCGGTGTGACTTCTCTGGTGTACAAGAAGAGTTTTCTTTTCAATGAAAGATTTCCCGCACACTGAACACGTAAACAGACCCTCACCTCTGTGTTTTCTTTCATGGGGTGAGGAGGATTCCTTGGGATTAGATGGATCTCTTGCATTGTGAGATCTTAGATGGATATTTCCAGTCATAGTATGTGAATGATCAGAAGATTCACCCTGATCAGAGGGATCCATTGATGTCTCCGAGCAGTGAGGTCTGTGATGTATATTTTGTGTGTTTGGATTCACTCCTGGAGAATCCTGTGTGATGACATTATCTTCTGACTTACAATCGGCAGATAATATAAGATGTCTCTCCGAGGTATTCCTGACATCACATCCATCTGCTGGAGAGAAATCATTACACACGTCAGTAATCAGAGTCATGTATGTTGGTCTAGAAGTCATCACAGAGCTCTGGCATGGAATTGGGTCCAATTGTAACCCCAAAATATGAAAACCAACCAGATAAAGGAGACAAAACCCCCAAAACACCTCTGACCCCCCGGAGACCATTGTACTGTTCATTCATGACCGCTATGGGGGGATGGACCTTCATATGGTGTACAGTATCTCCTCCTCATTTGTTGGTCACATGATGTTATATTGAGGAATGGAGATGGACCTTCATATGGTGTACAGTATCTCCTCCTCATTTGTTGGTCACATGACGTTACATTGAGGAATGGAGATGGACAACCAATGTAAGGGAGCACGACCCCTTTCATTTGTTGG